TGTGCGGCTCACGTGTGACCCAGGGGCGCTTAAAACATCCCTTAAATTACCCCCATTAGCAAGGGTTGAATGCCGGGTAAACGAGGATTTCACTGGCGCTGTTATGCGAGATTTATTCCGTGGGAAATATTCCTTTCGTACGTTAAATTACGCCGTTATACCGGCGGGGGTCCTGGCGCGCCTCGCGCCAGACGAGTCGATCCAAGTATAAACTTAAGCCGATTTAACAACGTATTGTACCGCTATCGCGCGTTTTCGCGAAGGTATTAAATGCGAAGTAACGAGCCGCCGCGCCGCGCCGCGCCGACGGCGCGCAATGCTACGAGAAAGCTACGAGATTCGAGTGAGCGACGATACCGGGCGGCTCCTTCAAGCAGTCGCGACGCGACGCGCGCGATTGCCAAAATCGTGAGCGATCCCAGACAATCTCTAAAAATACGAAAGAACGCACCGAATGGCTCAAATTCGCGACGCCGCGAAGAGCCGTTCGTCGTTTTTCTTCTCCGACAGGTAGGACTGAAAGAAACAGTAAACTTTGAAAATCAACATGTAAAAGTGAGGAGAAATCGCTTCGCGGCTTCGCTCTCTCTCTCTCTCTCGCGTGCAGCCATCTCTCGTGTAGCGTTTCACGTCGCATGCGACGGCTCCGCCGGCTTGTTCGCCGGAGAAGCAGAGAGTCCCGTTGCGCAAGATGACGTCCCGTTTTTCGCACGTGACTAACGGCACGCGGCTCGAATCTTATCTCCCTAATTTCTCGGGAGCGACCGTCCGCCGTCGGCAACGAGAGCACCGTCGGCATCCCCGAGTCGAGAGACGCTCGCGAACGATTTACGGAATTTAAACAGACCCCCGGGATAAGGCAGCGGCGGCGGCGGCGGCGGCGGCGGCGGCGGCGGCTTGGCGTTGCGTGGCAGGTCGGATTAGCAGGTTGCCCCCGCATCAAAATAATTCCCCTTCGCTGCCTACCCCATGCCATCCTACCCTGTCCTGCCCCCGACTCTCGCCCCCGTCACGGCCACCCCCGCCTGCGTCAGCCTCCGGGGTAGGTTACGTCCTTCCTGCGGGATAAAACAAAACAGCCAGCGGAGTATATTAATGCCCGGCTTAATGCGGCCCGCCTAATTAATGGACCGACTCTCCGGACGCCCGCCCGCTCCGGCCGCTACCGCCGCTTCTAAAAGTAAGAGATAACGCCGCTGCAGAAGCATTATTAAAGACAAAAGCGCGACCGCGTTCTCGCTCGGCCGCGCTCTGTGCCCCCGGCCGAGTGGAAATTTCGGCTAAGCGTTTCCTGATGTAAGGGATTTTCTGCGCCATGCGCCATGGCAGGGCATCGCGCAGAGCAGAGGAGGCAGAGAGGGCGCGAGCGGGGAGCGCGCGGAAGGGGGAAGAGACAGTCGAGCGATCCGCGTTTGTCGAGGTTAAATCGTCCGAGCCACTTGAGGTGCGCACGATCCGCCGACGATTAAAATTGCCGCTTCGAACGATTGAAATGGATGGAATTCCAGCGCGGAGCCGCAGGAGAGAGGGCCGTTCGCAGGTGTCGCAGCCCGGAGAATTGTGAGCGCGTTTCGAAAAAAGATATCGCACGTGCGCGCGACGGTACTCGAGCCGCGAGCCATGGCAGAAGGAAGACAGACCACCTCGCTCCGGCGAGCGAGGCGCGGTGCGCGCCGCACCTTTTTACTTCTTGAAGAGTTGCGGGGGTGGCTACGCTGGGAGTGTCGTGGATGCTGCAGGGGGCGGAGCCTTGAGAGAGTTGCATCGAGACTGCTCGGTTGCGTCGATAAGCAGATCGCGTCTACCCCTACCACCACCGCCCGCGGCGTACTCTTGATTTTGCAGGGATGCTCGTTTACGACGTCACGCGCCCGAGGAAGACGTTCGCGCAATTTCCGCGATCAATCGCCGAGCGCTGGCGATCGTCGCCGAGGAGCGTCGATCTTCCGAGCAAGCGGTCAAAGCGCGATGCTTTTTGAATTACGCCCTTCACCCGGCCGGCTGGCCGGCCGGCCGATCGTCGAGGACCGGCTGCTGGAGGGCCGGCGGGGAGGGGGCAGGGGAGTCATTCCCGCGGTTTCCGTAATGCGATCGCAATGATAATGACCGGCGAATAACGGCGGGACTGGCTTAGTCAAGGAGAGAGCACGCGAAACCGGCTCGTGGACAGGTTAGCGGTTCTCGAACGTGTAGCGGCTAATCGAATTATCGATGCTTTGAGGCTCAGCGTCCATGGATGATTCGATCATGTACCTGATGAACAGCTCCGACGGCCAGCGATGCGAGCCACTTTCGAAGGAGGGTGCCCCCTCGTTATGGGGGCACCCTCCTCGGTAACGTTTGAGCGGGAGGCCGTTTCCGCCGCGCTCCGCTGCCTCCTCGACGACAATAACCTGGCCCGAGTAATTGCTCGGGCAAAAACGGGCAGGCGACGCTTGAAAACCGCCGCGCGATCGCGCCGTCGCTACGGAGCTTACGCCGACTTTCCCGGCCTGGCGTTGTCGTGTTATCGGCAACGGAGAAATAAAAACTGCGTGATCGAAGGCGAGAGAGCACACAGCCGCCGGCTCTCTCAAACGAATTCAAAAGATTTCGTCGCAAAGCGGGCGAGGGCGTTCTTTCTTTCCCGGCGGACCGCCGGGGCCGGGGCCGGGGGTTGGGAGCGAGGGGGAAACCGCAGAGCCACCGCACTGATGAAAATCGCGGCTAAATACAAAGTGGAAATTGAGCGGCGGCAAGGTAGCTGCTCCGGCGCGGTCGAAGGTTTTCGAGGTCGTCGGCGGAATCCAGGTCGGCGCCCGCAGGAATTTCTGCGGTGAGATTCCAGCGCACGTAACTCGAAATATTTCTGTTATCGTAGTTTCGTATACGGCGGGATTTCGAGTTTCAAAGGAAACACTCCCGCCGCCGTCGCCGCCGCCGACTTTTGCGACGCGTCGCGCCGTTTTCGCGGCGCGCAAGCAAGTCCGCGAGATTGCGCGTTCCTACGCCTACATTCCGCCAGTTCCAACGTGCGCCTCCTGGACGTCTCCTGCACACGCGAGCACACGCACTCCGCCGCAGGCACGACGATCGAGGAGAGCCGGCTCTCGATTTCTCGCGCGAAAGTATCCACAGTACGAACGAGCTTTCGATCTAATTTATCCGTGCGCGCGCGCGGAGGACTAACATAAATTTCACAGCGCCGCGCCGATCGATCACCTAGCGATTATTATGTGGGAAAGTTTATATGCGGGCGGATTTAATAGTTTGCATAATTTACCCGGCTAGTTAGTTATTCCATTAATCATTATCCCGGGGTAGATGTGTGCATGCCCGCGAATAACAATCGTACTATTATTTATAATGTATTCAATTTATCGGTAACCCGCGGGCGGAGGTAAAGCGTGTAATCGATTCAACTCGATTAATTAACTCGCCCCTGCGTGTGCGACTGTAAGCGAGGTGTGCGCCTCTCGGCCGCGGCCCGGCCGTGTGGCGTCTCTCGCGTTACCGTAGACGAAAACTTCCCGCACGGTTTGCGTTCCGCAAAAAACGCGCGCGCGCGCGCACATAGACACATGTGTATGCGGGTTCGCGCGCGCGCGAGCGCGACAAAGGCGTTTAATTAGAAGCGCATCGGGAAACGGGGCATCATCCGACGCGGTTTTTGTCCCCGGCAATTTTCGCGTTCCCTCTCCAAGGCGGATGCGCGGATTTTTCATCCCCGTGGCCGTTAATAATTAACGGATCAAAGGCATCGTATTAATATTTGCCCCCGGAGTCCCGACCGCACGGAAGATATTAACCCGCGTAATATTGTGTCCATGCTAAGGGGTGAGGGAGAGAGAGAGAGAGAGAGAGAGGGAGAGAGAGAGGGAGAGAGAGAGAGAGAGGGAGAGAGAGAGAGAGAAAGGGAGAGGACATATTGAAACCGCACAAACTTCGCTCATAGCATCCGCGGTTATGAGTTCGTAAATATACCGGGTGGCTGAGATCGAACTTGGTCGGCGCAACACACGCGCGCGCGCACACCGGTGGACATTGCCCGGAGGACGAAGAAAGGATCAACTGGGCCGCGCGATCATATTAATGAGGCTTCAAGATCAAACGATCAAACGTGCCGACGCGAGACACGCTGTTATCGATCCCACGCGCACTTTCGCAATCTCTCGAGGCGTTGCGCTCCTCCTTTCCCTACTCGGTGTGATCCCCCCGGATCATCGACATTCGCGTTTTTCCCAGCCGTACTCGCGTGCGTCGCGCTATTTTTCTACACCCCTGAACGCACGACAGCATCGCGCCTCCTCGGAGGGACCGGCTGATGTTTATCCAGAGCGCGGACGACGGTCGGCTGCTGGCCGAGTCGTTGGTTGTTTCGGAGCCGGCAGTGCTTAAACGCGCAATAAGTGGACGGGGAGGGAGGAGGGGACGCTGTGGGAGGGTCAAACTAATTCGATTCTAAACTCTGACCGCATCGCGAGAAAGAGACCGCGTACGACGGAGGACGCTCCCGATGCGGGAGAGATCTACGGAGGATGAGAAAGGCCACACACACACACACACACACACACACTGCCGCCGCCACCGAGCGGGCTGGACACAGATGGCACTAACCGCGCCGTTAAATTCTCAAGCCGTAACTCTAATTACTCATAGACAAGCCGACATTCTCTAGTGCCAGATGCCGGCGAAACTTGTTAAATACACGCAAACGCGATTACTCATTCGATCCCGGCCGGACGAGGACTGCCGGGTCGGAAAGTCGATCCGACACCGGCTTGTCCGAGACTATCTCGTCGCAGCTTCCGGCGCGACGAGGAGGTGGAAGACAAGTACAATGGTCGTGAAACGCAGGCTTGCCGATAGTCGGCCGACGACGTTCCTTTCCTTCGTTTTTCGAGCGTCGGCAGCGGAAGAATGCGCGCCGAGTCGCATTCTCGAGCAGCAACTCGCGACCGCCGCGACTCGAAGTATATAGCGAAGATTGAGTAAGCCGGCATCTCTCTAACGTGTTGCAGACGATAAAATGACTATGGATGGCAGCAAGAGCGAGCCGGGCAAGAACGGGGCCACTCAACAGGAATGCGCGGGTTGCGGAAAGGCGATTACGGAGAGGTGAGTGCTCCGCTCGCGTTGCGTTGCGTGACACGGCGCGACGCCTCGTGTGTGTGTGTGTGTGTGTGTGTGTTTTACACCCCCCGGTCCCTGCGCATGTACCGAGCCTCTGAAAGAACGCTGACCATAGGGGGACGCTTTGCTCCAACAGTCGATCTGTCTTTTCCACGGGGGGGGGGCGGCGGCGACGAGGGGGAGAGGCTGGCCGCACGCACGAACTGGGTTAAATATAATAGTTTTCGCATTTATCGTTCATTACCAGCGCGATCATGCCCGAGTCGAAATTTCGGTCTTACATTAATCTTGCAAATCCCTTCGAGTGAATTGCAACATTGAGGCACTGCATAATTGATTCGCGTTGCGTGCCGAAATTGACGATGAATATTAAACGCGACTGTTTTCAAACGTGATCGAAAATGAGAAATCATTCTTAAGCCAGGTTCTTTCTTTCAAGCGCCGATGAAAAGGCGCGAGATAATCGCTTGTAGCGTGACAAAGGACAAAGTTGGCCTGTATACAGTGTCTCGAGATTCTCCGTAATAGAACTCGAAGTTTCGCGAAATGTACGGGGGGGGGGGAGGGTGGGACGGGTTAACGTGGAAGCGGAATTTGAACTCGGGCTAATGACGCGTCGTGAGCGCGTCTCGTCCGAGGTAATAAAAAGAAGTGCGGCGAGATTGAATCTGCGCGACAAACGGAGCGATTATAGTGAAAAGTCGGGACATTAATTAGCGTACGTTCACCTCGCGGCCGCCCCGGTGCTACGTCTCTCAGCGTTCGTGAAATGAACTCGTGGATCAGTCGCGTGTGCGCGACTTTGTTATCTCGCACGAGCGATCGTCGAGCGGCCGAAAATCAATTTTTCTAACTAAACTGACCATCGATTCGTCTCTCTCTCTCTCTCTCTCTCTCTCTCTCTCTCTCTCTCTCTCGACTACCAGGTACCTCCTGAAGGCGTTGGACATGTACTGGCACGAGGACTGCCTCAAGTGCGGATGCTGCGACTGCAGACTCGGCGAGGTCGGCTCGACGCTCTACACGAAGGCGAATCTTATTCTCTGCAAAAGAGACTACCTGCGGTACGTGGCCGACCAACATCCTGCGGATCCCGATCGATCCGCAGCCCGAGCGATTCCTCCGGCGGCGAGCTCGAGCAGATTCGATAATATCACCCCGCGCGCGCGCGCGCGCGCGTCTCGCGTGCCGACGAGTCAATAAACGCGGACGGACGTAGATAGATTGATAAAGCGCGGCGAGGGGGCGACGCGATCTCTCTCGCGGGGCGAGGGGGGCGAGGAGGAAACGGAGAAGAAGGCGGCGGCGACAAATCGAATTTTACAGATGAGTTTCCCTTATTGAATACAGCCACATCTCGTATATAAACAAGCGGGAGCAAATAAACCGTGTTGAGATTACAAAGTCCCGAGGGAATGCGCGCAGGTGGCGCGTCCGTACGCGCGCGAGCGCGCGAGGAACACGCGCAACGTCGAAACATTGTGGCCTTTATTAATGGCCCAATATTTGAAGACGGCATATTCGCGGCGGCCGTAAGCTTATTGGCTCCCGCTGTGCGCGTCTCGGCGCAGAAAGTTCCCCGTCTGTTGCCGTCATCCAGAGTGGAGCACGACTTTTCCCACGCGGAATGCGCAATTCACTCGAGCGCGCTTCCGAAGCGCGCCCGGGACGGCAATAACGCTTAATCCCGCGACGAAGCCGCGCGCGAGCGTGTCGTCGGTGTTTTTAACGCGAGCAGAGACGAGCCGGAGGAGACGCGGGAAATCCGGGAAATTCCGATCAGATGGACTAATCTACATTCCACCCCTCGTCTCTCCTCTGTTCGACAACAGGCTCTTCGGCAACACCGGCCATTGTGCGGCGTGCAGCAAGGTGATCCCGGCGTTCGAGATGGTGATGCGCGCGAGGACTAACGTTTATCACCTGGAGTGCTTCGCTTGTCAACAGTGCAATCACAGGTGAGCGATATCGAAAGCGCGAATATTGCCTCGCCGCTATCATCCCTCGCGCGAGAATCTCTCCGGGGAGGGGGAGTGGGGGGTGAGTTTGGGAGAGATCCGTCGCGTGCATCCGCGTGAATCTTGGCAGCCGCCGCGCGAGGAGCGACGAAGCGAGAAACGAGCGAGAAACGAGCGAGATGCGAGATCAGCCTGGCGCGACTCGCGTCGTACGCGCCAAGTACTCGGCCTCGGTTTCCGCGGGCCCCTCCGGCTGCGCTATTATTTTATTAACAATAATGAAAGCTGGTAATTAAACATTCACACCCGGCGGCAGCGGCGGCAGCGGCGGCGGCGGCGGCGACGACGGCAAAGTCGCTCGCTCGCGCGCGCTCGAGTATTCCTCGTGGCAGCTCATCCGTATAACAATTTAATTCGAGCCACCCCAGCCACCGGCGCGCCCGGGGCTTCGCCTAACTTCTGCAGCACTTCGCGCAACACTTCGCTTACTTATTCACAACAACCGAGTTAAGCCGTGGCTCGTTCGAAAGCCGGGACTCCTCCGGCTCGAAACGCCTCGGCGGATCTGCCGAATGGAGATAATCGGCGCCGCGGCAGGCTCGGAAGTGCCCGAGCGCGCGAGCCGCGCGCGCGCGTTTCCGCGAGACTGCGAAGCGAGTCGGGAAAAAGTTGTCGCATTTTCGCGCGAGCGAGCCGAATTCCTCTCTTCGAATTCTCTCTCGCTAGGATTGTCCTCTTTTTAGGACTACTGGAAATCATACTTAAACGTATACTTAAACGTTCTGGGGCCTTGACGGGAATAGGCGCATCCTTATTTGCATGTGCAATTTATTCCTGCCGAAGAAACGAAGAGAGAGAGAGAGAGAGAGAGAGAGAGGGAGAGAGGGAGAGGGAGAGGGAGAAACAGACCCGAGAGCTCGGATATCATTGTTCGCGCGACTTTCGTCGCCCGTTCGGCGCTACACAGTTGGCACAAACGACGGTTATTCCCCCAGCTGCCGACGAGAGGGACTGCCGAGGAGGATCAATGTCGTAGAACGAGAAGAATCCGCTCGACATTTCCTCTCCTGACGGGTATAATTGACGCGAGAGCGCTTCCGACGTGGATGCGCGAAGCTACCCACGGAGAGACATTCGCCGAGTGAGAGAGGCAGTGAGAGGGGCAGGAGGAGCGGGAGAGATAAAGACGGGGAGGGGGGGAGGCGAGGAAAGTCAGAGTTGCGAACTATGCGAGCGACGTGTGGGTGCCTCGTCGAGGTGCACGTCAGATGCAAATCATGCCGGCTAATTTCTCGGAAAACTCGCGGATTCGGAGGGAGAGAGCAGACGGCATATCCGCGGTGAGATATGTACGTCCGAGCGACGTAACGTAGCGTAGCGATAAAGCCGAATCGCCGAATTAATTATATCCCCCGTGTCTTTGGTTGTCCGAAACAGTCGGGCCGTTCGGCGCCAACGAGCCTTTGGTCCCCGGCAGTTATCAAAAGCCGCCGGTTGCGCGTACACGTTGATTAATCCTTTGGGACTCGAATTAATTTTTATATCGACATATTAATATTTTATATGTATTTAAAATACAAGACCCGCGCGCGTGCGCGCGCACAGCCAGCTGGCTGGGCTCGTACGAAATGGGCTTTTCAATTTTAAATCTCGCTTCTTTTGAAAAGGGGTCGCGAGCGCGCGATATGTAACAATAAAATTATATCGTTTAATATTTTATACATATTAATATCGTTTAATTGTGCAATGGCGAATGATTAAATCATGTTCGGCAAACATAATCCGCGCGCGCGCGCGCGCGCGCGCGCGCGCGCGCGCGCGCGCGTTCTCTCTGTCTCTTATTCTCTCACGCGTCGAGGACTTTCTGTCAAATTTTTATCGCGCTGTTATACACGAGACGCCCACGAGCGGCTATTTTGTAGATCGATTAACTGTCGTCGCATCGGTATGAAATAAATTGCATCAGGTCGGAAAGGGATAGGCTACGACACGGGACTGCTCCTTTATACCGGGGTCGGACGGGGGTCGATGGCATTTCGGCGTATTTAATGTCACTCCTCGGCATTTGCCCGACCTTTCTTACACCCTACCCACGGCTCTGCATTCCTGAATTGATTCGTGCCACGAGACCGAAGCACCAGAATCGTGTTCGTCCTCTGAGAAGAACACACTCATCAATAGTCCACTCATCCTGCCGGTACACCGGCAGATCGTTAAATGATGTCGTTAAGACATCAAACGCGTGGAATCGCGAGACCGCGATAGATCAGCAAGAAGTAATAAGCATCTCATGCGACGCATGTGACATCTTTGAGATTCATCGCGAAACACACACGAAATCTTTGTCTACGCACAGCAAAGAGAATATTCTTTCGCGCCGGTTGAAAGCCACTGTCGCGTGCGCGATGTCGCCGCGATCCCGAAACGGATGTCCTTGTAGAACGTGGAAACAAAATCGTCGCCAGCGAGGGAGGGTGTGTTCGGCCGAGGCGAAGTAAGGGTTAACAGCTCTCGGCGCGGAGCTCCTCGGCGGCGCGTGACTATCGAGCGGAGCCGATTACGGCTTAAAGATACGTCGGCGAAAGTATACTTTCTTTCGCGGTCGATGGTAACGTGCAACCCTTAAGGCGAACCATTGGTTAGGGGTCGAAGCGGTTGACCGTACGCAGAGGCGGAAACGGATGTGGCCGTTGGGTCACGCGATCTCCACGAGCCAAGCATAATAAAACACCTGAGTTGTGTTTAATCATACGCTCCCGAGGTAGAAGTCGTGGCTCGAGGACTCGTAAGGGCGAGACTTTTCTCTCTCTCTCTCTCTCTCTCTCTCTCTCTCTGTCTCTCTCTGTCTCTGTCTCTCTGTCTCCCTCTTCCTCCTTGCCTTGGTCTCTTCGAGTTTATCCGATCGCGTTAACGGAAATTCGCGCTATGGATCGCTCATTGACGAGCGGACGTGCAAACACGACGATCATGAGAGCCTTGAATACAATCGGCCGATTTTTCTGCGCGAAATTCTCTCGCTGGAGCATCCTAGCAGATGGAGAGATTCCTGCACTTTGGAGCCTGAGTAGGTTGTACACCTGTGTGGTTGCGCTTACGTCACACTCTCGTGCGATGAACCTTCCGGCGCTGATGAACTTTTTCGCGGAATCTTTTCGCTACATTTCTCGCGCATGATTATTTCGTCTGCACGTTTTGATGTGTCGTATCTCGTTAAACGAAGAAATGGCGGTGTATTAAATGGCTGTCCGATGGTCGCGCCGGATGATCCCCGTCTCCCTCCCCCGCAATATAATCTCTTACTTCGTCTGCGAGGCGAGTTATCGTTATCAGCGATGTTTCCTCAAACAACAGCGGGAAGAATGACGCGAGCCGAGCGATATCGCAATGCGCGCGCGATGAATTATGAAATCCCATCATACGGCATTAACGAGGCGAGCTCTCTTCCGCCTGTTTTGCCAGCTAGCGATTCTCGGCTAATATCTCACGGCGATCGAAACGCGCGCGCGGGGAAAAAGGCAAAAAAGCAAAAAAATATCAAATTTATACCGTCCCCCGGTCGGGGTGAGTATCTCCCGCGTGCGTGCGCGCTGTTTAAAGCCGATGACGCACTTTGTGCGTCGCGCAATTTCGAGATTTATCGCGGCTGCGTTTCAACCACCAATTCGTCGGCGCGCCGTTCCGAGCATCGGCTGCGTTTGATTTAAAGTGCCGCTTCCGCGCGCGCGCGCGCGCACGCTTAAATATAGCGCGCAAAGCAGATTGAAGAAATTATCCGGCGCGTTCGGCCAATTTGCCGGATTTTTCCGACAAGAGTTGGCGCGCGGCGAAAATCGGCTTTGGCGGCGCGATTGTCATCGGCATAATACAGTTAATGCATTGCAATAATTAATTAATGACCAACGCGGGAGATACACACGCCACGTTATTAGCTTGTCAAATAATTGTATCGATAATCATGCATTGATAATTATCGTATAATGAAAAAGCGTATGCGCGCGCCCCCGTAAATCACGACTTTGTCGGGCTCGCCGTCGAGCGTTTTCGGAAAACGCAAAGTTCTCGCGCGAGCGGTTCGCGAGCTGTGCGTTGGCAGGTAGAGGTTTTAATTAAATTCTACGATACCCTCCCTCCCTCCTCCCTCAGCACCCCATCACCCTTTTTCTCTCTCTCTCTCTCTCTCTATCTCTCTCTCTGTCTCTCTCTCTGTCTCTCTCTCTCTCTCTCTCTCTCTCTCCTCTCTTCTCTCATCGAATACGACCGCGGCGTAAGACGCGACCGGCTTAAGCTCTTCCTCGACTTACGATCTCCGCTTCGAGGTAGCTTCGAGTCTCGCCTTTGTCTAGCGAAAGCACGGCCGGGCATTGTCGGACGACCGCTCGTCCCTCCCCGCTGACGGGCGCGAGCATTGTTCGTGCTTATATTGTATTTTGGCATTACGAGTTAGCCGGTTTAATTGTTATTGTTCCGCAGAGCTTATCGAACACGGTGCCCTGTTGCATTCCCACGCGAATCATCGCCCGGCATCTCGCAATTACTCCTAAATCACTAAAGTCCCTTACCTGCGAGCGCGCAGTTGCACGTAACTTACGACATTGACACCGTTTATCGACTTTCCGATAGCGGCGGCCCGTTGTGAAGCGTCGCGGTGAACGAGAATAACACGCCCACTTGCACGCATCACGCGTCGAATATCTAATGATGCTTTTAATGACAACGCACGCGATATGACTCGAGATTTTACTTTCCAACGCGACGGATTATTTCTCCGCGATTTCTACACGCAAGTCCGACAATTTCGTGATAATCTCGTCCAACACGGGAGGGATACGTCGAAGCGCCTTATTGTGACACTTCCAGGAAGTTAACGGCAATTAAAAATTAAATCGCAAGCATCCGACGTTGCGTTGATTTCGCTCGCTCGAGTGGTAATACGCGTTATCACGGTAACTTGGTTATTACTCGTCTCGCCGAACTCGTAACGGCACGCTCACTTCGGTCCT